GAATTCATTATTTCCCACAACTTACATATTATTTTCCCCCTTAACCCTTTCTCTCTAACTGGTGAAAACTTGGCTTGGCCAGCTTTTGCAGTAGTGTGACTCCTTGAATGCAAAAGTATTATCTGGTCACTTCCATGCTAGCCATATTTCCTTTCTTGAAAACCCAACAAACCCAACTTGAAGTTATGGCAACTCACTCTACTTGAGATCTTGGGCACAAAAACATCACAGGGTCTTCTCAGCTGTTGGGGTTTTTCACTTGATCTGATGGGACTTGCAGTGGAATCCTTTCAAAGCTAGAACAGTCATTGCCTAGATAGCCATTAGGCACTTGCAGCAATTTTGAATATAATACTGGGAGTGCATGTGAGCAGAACAGTAGCATATCTTTTTATTGTTTGGATGTGTGTTTCTCTCTTTCCCCTAGGTCCAAAACAGAGAGAGACTCAACATTAGCTGATTTCATTAAGAAGAACCCTATGTATTTGATAAAGTCTTGGATGATTACATGTGATAATTCAATTATTGGACACCTTGGAGAAATGTAGGACTTTGATAAAGTATTTTAGTCATACATTATTCTGTCAGAACTGCTTTGATTTTTGATTCCTGCACTGAGCAGGGGGTTGGATTTCATGACCTTATAGGCCCCTTCCAACTCAATTTTTCTGATTATTTGAATCACCATTCAGCCATTGATGTAAAGATATAAAAGCCAGTAGTGCTTGATGAAGGCTCTGAAGGACCAACATTATAATATGTATCAGCACAGCAAGCTCATTAGAAGCCTAAAGTGGGGAGAATGCCCCTCCTCAGAAGTTTTGGAGGTGTGGTACCCATTCTGATCACTCTGTCAGCTGTTCCTATGTATGTTTCAGTCCTAAGAAGCTTCTGCTGCTGTAGAAACCATGCATTGTTTTCCATTTAAAATACTCAGCTAAATTTCTAAGATTAATTTGTAAGATTGCACCTCAGAAAAACTACAGAGTTACAAGATGGGGAATACCTGGCTCAGGAAAACTACGAAGGAGAAGTATCTTAGAATGGTCGTAGATCACAAGCAAAATATGAGCCAACAGTGTGATGTGACTGCAAAAAAGGCAAATGCTATTTTAGGCTGCATTAATAGAAGTTAAGTTTCCAAATCCCTTGAGGTGCTAGTCCCCCTCTATTCAGCACTGGTTAGGCCTCACCTTGAGCATTGTTCTTCATTATTTAGGAGTTTCTTGCATCATAAATGGCCTGCTGCGGCTTGCAAGGTTCTTGTGTCATGCCCTTTTTCATAATGTTTGTTGGTTTGTTTACTTTGCTCTCTGCACCAGGATGTATGCCAATAAAATCAATAATGTACAACATGCAACACAAAATTTAACAAGAACGCTAGTATATCAACATAAAACTTCTCAGAATAGGCAACGATCAAGAATTAACCATCTCATAATAAAAAACAATAACAGTTACAACATTGAAATAAAACACACAGGTTGCTAACTGGTCCCTGCACCCAATACCTGTTGGGCTGATAGATTTTCAGACCTTGTCTAAATTTTTCCAACTCTGGCCCATTACAAAGGTACTGGGGGAGGGAATTCCACAGCTTTGGAGCCAAGTGGGAAAATGCCTGAAGCCTAGAATTTGCCACCTTAGTGAAAAGCAGTGGTTCTTAACTTTGGGTTACTCAAGTGTTTTTGAACTGCAACTCCCAGAAACCCCAGCCAGCACAACCGGTGGTGAAGGCTTCTGGGAGTTGCAGTCCAAAAACACCTGGGTAACCAAGGTTAAGAACCACTGGTGAAAAGGACCAACAAGTGATCTTAATCTGTGGACCAAGTCCTCTTATTTATTTATTTTTATTTATTAATAATGTCATGGCACCAACTCTGCTAAATAATTAGGGCAAGAAAATCGTAGAGCTTTAAATATATCATGCTGCATGTCTAATCTTGTTGTAATCCTTAAGCTTTCTACAATAGAACTCTTTTGACTTATGTTTTAATACACATATTGCTCTCAGTAGCTTCAAATCTCTATTAGTAAAAGTCCTGAGGTCAATTTAAGAAGTCACAGAATGAATAATCAGTAACTATCAATCCCCAGGGTAGATACATATTGGGGAAAAGAAGAGATACAAATATAGCGCTTATTCACATCAGAACAAATGACTGCTTATTGAAATGCTGAACATGCTTCAACCACATCTATGGACAAATGTAGGCTCCCTTCTATGACTCATTGCTATGAAGCTGATACCTTTGAAGATTGAAGATTGGAGGCTGCAAGAGTTCTACAGTTGGGAACAGAGATTTCTCTTCTTCCATGGGAAGAGACCTCTACCCTAATAGGTAAGTGATTGAAGTAAATGCCTCTTGTTACTTAACTAGTATTACATATAGAAGAAATATAGAGTGTGTGAGATTTACTGGCAAAGCCTGTCATAAGCAGTGTTAGCTGGGCTCTCTGTTAGATGTGTAATGTGGAGAGATGCATACTTTCTTCCCATGTCACAGGCTACCAAGCATTTCCTTGTGTAACATGCTGTTTAGAGTATATTATTTAATTTTAAATAAGGCTATTACATCCTTTCCTGGCATGGCATAAAGTTATGCCACGATAGTTCTACTACCTTGTAGGCAGTTGCACGTTAGTTTGGATAAGGGAGTGGATAACTTTGGAAAATGACAGGCTACTTAATAGATATATAGATAAAGCAAAGAAGGGTATAGCTACATATATAGTTACTGCAGCTAGAATTTTGTATGCTAAAAATTGGAAAAGTCCGATGACACCGAAGCAAGAAGACCTTATTGAAAAGATAAGAGAAACGGCAGATATGGATATCTTATCAGAAGTAATGAAGGACTGTCCTGTGCGAAAGGCAACTGAAAGATGGGATGTATTTTACAAATGGTTAGAATCACCAGATAATGTTTGAATAAGATAGAATAAAATGTGGATTAAGGCTAGAAGGCAGAAAAGAGTAGAAAAGCAGAAATGGAATGTTGGATGATAATCTTAATAGAATGAATGTCAATATATTTTTGTATCTCACCTTCCCCAGAATCCCAGTCCCTTTTCCCTCTTACCTTTTGTATCCCATACCCTATCCCACTGGTTCTTAACCTTGGGTTACTCAGGAGTTGTGGACTGCAACTCCCAGAAGCCTTCACCACCAACTGGGCTGGCTGGGGTTTCTGGGAGTTGCAGTTCAAAAGCATCTGAGTAACAAAGGTTAAGAACCACTGCCCTATCCCAAGTTATTAAAAAAATGTTTTACTTTGTTTTGCTTTTTTATTTTTTTGCATTAATGAAAAAATTGCCTTTCCACTTAAAGACCAAGCTTGCTCCATGTGGTAGGTACATATAATAGTATGTTAAAAAAATAATTCACAGCTTTGACAGATATGCTGACACCATATAGTTGTTTAGAACCACCAGACCTTTGAGTAGCAACCGGAGTGAAAGGGGATTTCTCTCAATGCCACTGCTCAGTGTTTTATGACTATATAACAAATGTAGGTGTTTGCCAAGAAAATAGTACCCCAAATAACATATGGGGCAGAGATATGGGAATATATACTCACACTGAAGAAGTGATCCAAAATTCTTTTATTCGATCTGTCCCCCACAAGATTCTAACTGTCCCTCACAACATACCCGCTGCATATCTAAGGGCCAAAATAGGATTGATTCCAACTGAAATACACTCTCATATTGTGCTGGCCATGTATTGGCTGAAATTGGCCAGTATGAATGATTCTCACCTTCCTAGGAAGTGCTACACAGAACAGCTTCAGAATCCATCTCAACAATCCCGGGTGAATTTAGTTAGACCCATTTTGCAGAACTATGGGATTGACACAGACTCCCTTCCTACCTTTGTTTCAAACAGAGCTAAGCAATTGGTTAAAGAAAAAATGTCGTTAAGTGGCAGGATCTCCGTGCCATCTCAGAAATGTCCTATAACTGTTGGTTCCCTTTGTATCAAATATCATTCTCTTTGGAGGTCTACTTTGCTAATTTAACCTCAGCCCCTCTAAGAAAAGCGTTTACAGCTCTGCACTTTCAGGGTATGCCGACTGCAATATTAATAAGAAGATATGGAAATGTTCCTTTTGATCAAAGACTTTGTATATGTGGATCAGGAGAAGTTGAAGATGTTTCTCATTATTTGTTAAGATGTCCTTTATATGATCACCCCAAGAGCAAATTCTTTGCAGGCGTTCTCATTATTTGTTAAGATGTCCTTTATAAGTTTATATGATCACCCCAAGAGCAAATTCTTTGCAGGCGTACTTAGAACTTTGTGTGACAGCTCTCCTATGACTCAACTCTGCATTCTGCTTGTGGAAAGGGATGTATTTGCTACCCATCAAGTAGCAAAATTTGTTCTGGCAGCAAAGAAGATCCGTGCCAAGCATTTAAAATCCTAAATCTTCCCTTTTAAGTGTAATTGTGATATGACAGTGCCACATATGTTTGATGCTATCATTGATATATTGCGATGACCTATGGTTTTAAGCAATCAACCAATAAAGTAAAGACTACATAACAAATGTATGATTCTGATTTTTGAAAGTAAAAAAAAAATCTCTGAAGGAATTTCAAGTAAACTGTTACTTCTTAAGTTTGCAGGGAAGTTACAGCACATGTGCCAGCTCATAAAGAGCACAGACTGTTTTAGGGTTGTAATTTGCATTCCATGTTTTGACTTTTGCTAGTTAACATTCTTCTCTTCCCACAGTTATTTTGTACAACAAGACTGCAACATTGTTGATCTGAAAAACTTTGCATGTTGAAGGTCATGACATTACTGACCAAAGTTTTGCATCCTAAGTCTTCTTTGCAGTGACCTGATCATCCTGTATTCCATTGTCTCTGCTTCTCTAGAGAAAAATATCTTGCAATACCCCAGCTGTATCTTTGTAAAAAATGGATCACTGTGGATTTGAGTGTACAAATAATATATCCTTTGCTTTTGTTCACAGGCAAAACAATTGGACATGGCAGCAGGGAGGAACCAAACAACTACCACAGAATTCATTCTTATAGGATTCGGAGACACCAAAGAGTTCCACATTCTATTCTCTTTCATCTTTCTAGCTATTTACCTTTCTACTACAATGGGAAACATTCTCATCATTGCACTCATCATAACAAACAACAATCTTCACACCCCTATGTACTTCTTCCTGGGAAATCTGGCTTGCTTAGAGATCTGTTACATCTCTACCATTGTGCCTAAACTAATCACCATTTTCCTAACAGGGGACAGGACAATTTCATTTTGGGGTTGTATTGTGCAGTTTTATTTCTTTGCTGCCCTGGCTGCTACTGAATGCACTCTCTTAGCCGTGATGTCTCATGACCGGTACCTTGCAATATGCAAGCCACTGCATTATGGCACCCTTATGAATATCAGGGTTTGCATCGTACGGGCAGCTGGGTGTTGGCTCAGTGGTTTTCCAGTACTGCTGATAGTTCTCCATTTGATGTCAAGATTACCCTTCTGTGGCTCCAATCGGATACAGCACTTCTTCTGTGACCTTGCTCCAGTCATAAGCATTTCTTGTGGAGAAACACAAGCAGTGGAATTCACTCTCTTCTCAATTGCATTCACATTAATCTTGCCTCCATTTCTATTAACTGCAATATCTTATGCTTTTATCATCCTGGCTGTGCTGAGAATCCCCTCCACCACTGGAAGGAAGAAAGCCTTTTCAACATGTTCATCTCACCTCATAGTGGTTAGTATGTTCTATGGTTCCCTTGCTGTTGTTTATTTGTTGCCAAGGATTGAAACACTGAGAAAATTCAATAAAATATTTTCTGTCTTCTACACCATTGTAACTCCGCTCATCAATCCATTGATCTACACTCTTAGAAATAGGGAGTTCAAAGTAGCCCTTAAGAAATCAATCCAAAAAATGCTTCACAACACCTTCTGAGAGCTCACGGAATTATTCCAAGGAAATTGAAAGTGACACTGTTGTCCTGTCATTCCATAACGTATTGATATGCTTGCTGATTCCTATGATATAATTAAAAATTAACTGTAATATTTAACACATCTCTTACCATCCTTTCTCAGTTTTCCTTTCCATAAGTATTATATCATTTGACAAGCTAGATGTCTCCTTCTACTGTGGCAACCATTGTGATTACTATGGATTTTCAAAGAAATTAAAACAAAACCCAAAAAATATTAAAAAGGAAAATCAAGGAGACTTTAGTAATAAATGTCAGTGAAAATTGAGCAGTTTCTAGACTACAGTTCCTAAATATTAAAAATATATGAAGGATGAGAAGATGCCCAGATTCATAACTTGTGTAGGATTGGGTTGTGACTGTTATAGTTGTGACATGCAACAGTGCCTCTCCTGGCCATCTAAATTGCAAGCCGCGCAGAGAGCGGCATATAAGTTAAATAAATGTATCCAAGGAAGCTATTCCAGATAAGACAGAAGTGCTCCTGGTCAGTCAAAAGGCAAATCAAGGAATAGGGATGCAGCCTGTGCTGGATGAGGTTGCACTCCTTTTAAAACACAGGTATACAACTTTGGGGTGCTCCTGGATCTGCCTGAGCTTGGATGCCCAGGTTTCAGCAGTAACCAGGAGTACCTTTGCACAGATAAAACTAGTGCAGCAGCTGTGCCCATTTCTTGAGAGGTCTGATCTAGCCCTGGTGTCACATGTCTTAGTTACATCTTGACTGAATTACTGTAATGTGCTTCACGTGGAGCTGTCTATGGAAACTTCAGTGGGTCCCAAACACACTGCTAACTGGGACTGGGTAGAGGGATCACATAACCTCCCTGTTACAGCAGCTCCACTGGTTGCTGAACTGTTTCTAGGCAGAATTCAAAGTGCTGGTTCTAACCTATAAAACTCTAAACCAGTGGTCCCCAACCTCGGGCCTCCAGATGTTCTTGGACTTCCACTCCCAGAAATCCTGGCCAGAAGAGGTGGTTGGTGTAGGCTTCTGGGAGTTGTAGTCCAAGAACATCTGGAGGCCCAAGGTTGGGGACCACTGCTCTAAACGGCTTGGATCCAAGCTATCTCAAGGACCGTGTCTCTCTTTTCGAGCCTGCTCTTGAGAGGCCTTTCTCTCTGTTCCACCACCTTCACAGGTGTGCTGGCTGGGGACAAGGAAGAGGGCTTTTTCTGTTGCTGCTCCCAGACTTTGGAACTCCCTCCCACAAGAGGCTCCCCATCTTTACTGTCCTTCTGCAAGTAGGTGAAGACCTTCCTCTTCAGGCACCGTTTTCCCTGAGTAAGTGGCTGCCTAAATGGGGGTTTTAAATGGGTTGTTTTACCATGCTGTTTTGAATGTGTTTCGGTGTTGCTTATGTTTTTTGGTATGCTGTTTGTTTGATCCTTTTTAGTATTTGTATAATCACTGTTATTAGCTTATAATATTGTCTTTCAATGATGGAAGCCACCTTGGATCCTTTTAAGGAGTAAGGCAGGGTAAAAATATTTCAATAAATAAAAAAATTAAATAAACAAATTTGACTGGTATCTGATTTCATCAAAGCATGTCTGACTCAGCTTGTAGATACAAAGGAAAATGTTGCTGGCTCAAGTTAATTCTTCACAACGTGGCAAGCTGCCTAACTGAATAATATGCAACACACTTTGCCCTGTGTCTGCTTAGGAGTGAAGGGCTGATGCATTCATTCTTATATGGGCTTCACATGCACCATGTTACAGCAAGTAAGCATTCCATAGCAAATAATTTACATCTGTAAATATGTTGTAAAATGTACAGTTATGTAAAACATTACAGTGTTTCACTCGTATCCATTATTGCTCCCCCCACCCCTGTTTAAATAAAACTCTTTTCAAAAATGGACTTTCTTTGATGATGGGAACAGAACTTCCTTCCTTAATCATTTTTGTGGAGGTGACTTGAACTGTGGTTGGAAGATGAGAAGGAAAGTGACAGAAATTAAGCTAAACATCCTGACATTTAGGTGGAGGAGGTTTTATTGAGTAGCACTTACTGTTGAATAGACATGGATAGTTTGCAGTGTTAAATGTTGTACATTTATTACTGTTTGGGTAGGCAGTAATGTTAATGGTGTGAAGGATATTTTGATTTATTTAAAGGTCTGTTGCTAAATGATAAGGAGAAAACACAAGCAGTATTCAAAGAACCACAGTAATAAAGAGATTGGGAGGTTTTCATGTCCCACCAAATGGCATACATTATACAGATATATTTAGTGCCTTTGTGGGGGTTCCAGAGATCTGATCAGGAGAGGTCATGAAGCGTACCTATTCCTCTGCTAATCAGTGCTCTGGGGAAATCATTTCCTTCATCACCTAGGTCAGCAGAGAAGCAGTGCAATCTAAATTCAAAGATACACCCACTAAAGGGAGTTCAGACTAAGAAGAAGCATCTTGTCCTGGCCCAACCGTCCTTGTAATGGCTGATTTTGGATCTGGCAGTACAACTACATTTGCTGGTAAAACTGTTTGCTGGCTGAGATCAGACAGCAGAAAAATCCTAAAAGAAGCAAAGAATGAGTGGAGCTGAATTACTGCAGATCGGAAGCCTAGGTGGCCACTGATCCATTGCCAAAAATGGAGAACATGTGTCACCAGAGAAGAGGACATTGAAGACAGGGAACACCAAAAAAGAGGGCATGTTTTACCTGAAAGGACACAATTGTAGCTGGCTGGATAGCTTGGTGATTTAGATATTTGACTGTGGAGCCAGAAGTTGGGAGTTCAATTCCCCGCTAAGGTCCTGTGAATAGAGCCAGCCTATGTGGCCTTGGGCAAGCAGCACATCCCCAGGATGGCTCCAGCATAAGTGAATGGTAAAGCACTTCTGACTATTCTCTGTTTGGAAAACCGTGAAAAGGATCAGGGATTTCTGCACTGCTCTCTTTGAGTTGGCAGCTGCCGGGGGAGGCAAAGAAGGGAAGTCCATGCTTTTGCTGAGTCTCAACAATCACCTGAAGGGCAGGAGAAAAGCAACATGCATCAGCTGATGAGTGGGGGAGTCAACCAGGTGGGTGGGGAAAAGGAACTCACAGCACCTGCGATGCTGTGCCAGCAAACCAGCATGAACCTCCGAACTGAGGTTTGTACTCATCTCCAGTTTTCATATTACATGTTCCCAGTGACATTTCACTCATCCTAGTAAGTATTGATAGAAGCATTTCTGAAGGTCACCCTAGATATAACAATCTTATGTAATGCTGACTTTCAGTCTACTCTATTGTTGCTACTGTGCTTTATTTAAAAATAAGGTAAAGGTAAAGGTTCCCCTTGACAATTTTTGTCCAGTTGTGTTCGACTCTAGGGGGCGGTGCTGATCCCCGTTTCCAAGCCATAGAGCCAGCGTTTTGTCTGAATACAATCTTCCGTGGTCACATGGCCAGTGCAACTTAGACAGGGAA